GATAAACAAAAGAAAGAAAGAAAAAACAAACAAACAAGTACCTAACTAGCTAGAGAGGGAGAAAGAAACTAGGTAAATACCTATGCCCAATTATTCAATGCTTTGGGGAAAATAATTAATGAAGTTTTTGTAATATATTCTAAGTTTTTTACCTTTTTATTTTTGTTTCTACTTTAAGAAGCAATGATGTCTAAGAAATGTGTTCTCATTATTTATTTTACTTATTAGGTATGTTGTTACTCTTTAAACTTGATTTAGACTATGATGTTTTTAAAAAGTGGTTTTATATCATTATACAGTATTACATTTTTAAATGTCTACAGTTTGCAAGCCCTTCTACCACCAAAGGTCAGCACTATGTGGAATTTTATTATTTTTTTTGGAATTTTATTATTGTTTTACAAAAAGAGGAACAACATAACTTTGTGCAAGTGTGCATGAGCTCTTGTGCATCCGTGTGTATACACAGCTATTTATGTCTTAGTAGCATGGATGACTCTAACTTGCAAGCTGTAGAGTCACACAACGTGTGCTCATCTCCATGGTAACCATTTCTAAGATAAATGCACTTCTGAACAATGGTCCCAAAATAGTCTATTACCCATTTTTGTAGATTTCCACTGTGGCAGCTAAAAACAATTTTGGAAGACCTTGATCTGTTCTTTAACCAACAAAAATAGAGACAACAAACACATAACCAGATCAGAGAAAGTATGGTTAAGTATAATGACATCTTTTACAATAAACTCGAGATTTCATGGATCTGATTTTTATTTTATGAATTATCTATACTTAATGTTTCTCCTGCAACTTTTTGACTTCCTATATTTAGCTATTTATCCTTTCTGAGACTTTTATTTCTTTTTTTCTGAGACAGGGTCTCACTGTCACCTAGGCTGGAGTGCAGTGGCAAGATCATAGCTCGTTGCAACCTGGACTCCCAGGCTAAAGGGATTCTTCTGCCTCAGCCTCCTAAGTAGCTGGGACTATAGGTGCACACCACTGCGCTTGGCAAATTTCTTTCTTTCTTTTTTTTTTTTTTTTTAGAGATGGGGGTCTCACTATGTTGCCCAGTCTGGTCTCCAACTCCTGGGCTTAAATTATCCTTTTCTTTTGGCCTCCCAAAGTGTTGAGGTTATAGGGTGAGCCACCATGTCAGGCCTGAGATTTCTTATCTATGAAATGAAGGGGAAGAAATTATCTCTGAGGCCTTTTTTAGGTCTAAACTTATGACTTTATGATTTCTCCACTCAAACCATTGTGAGAAAATAAGCAGGGGAAATAAAAACAACTGAAACTTAAATCAGGCAATCTTTGCCCCTTGTTAGGTTAAATAAAGGAGACTTTTAAAACTATTTACCATCACAACTGGAGTGCATTCACATAAATTTCAAATAGTCTTTTTTTTCTATTAAAGTTGGCAGCATTTTCTTAAGTTTAGAATATCTTAATTTTCCCAAATGAGGATAGATTACAAAGTTGTCTCACAATGGGGGAAATCCCTTTCATGGTTTTAAAGATGCTCATCCTGCATCTACCCCTCCACATTGCCTCTGCTAGGAGAGGGAGTCCCTCTAAGGGAGCAGGAAAGCCTTTGTGAACGACCAATGAACAGGGGCAGAATAGATGTCAATAAAGAGAATGGTAAAAAGCAGGCGGATTCTACCCAGCCCTCTTCAGCTCCTGGGAAAAGCTGACTACTTGGGTTTGGTAGCTCTACCACTCCCCCTAACACTGCAACCCCCAGTGCCATTAAATCACCTACGTACCAAGATTTAGAGGCATAGGGAGAAGATAGGCCCTTTATTCTTAGAAGGGTAAACATTTTTTCAGAGCAGCGTTTATCAGAATTGTGACACCATCTTGTTTCCTTTGAGAGCAATCCTTCTTCACCACTCAAGTCTGAGTACATTTCTCTTAAATGGTTTCCTGCCTCTGGAGTGCCACATCTTCTCTCACAGCTTTCCTGAATTCTGATAAGTCCTCTCCTTCTGCTCTCTTCAAGGAAGCAGAACTTCCTCCTTCTCTTATCAGGGAACTTCTTACAGCACATTCTGACCAGACCAAGACTACCAATGTTATTCTCTTCCCAACCCCAGACCCACCAGACCCACTCCCAAACAGACTAACTCCTCTCACCCCTTCCTCCTCGATATAAGGCTGCCTACTGACTTAATCCTTGCTAACAAAGGGAAAAGAGGGTCTGGAGCATTTGCATCTACCTTTTAGACATAAGCACATTTGAAAAGAAGCCCTCTGAAGTCAGTGCCACTACATTTTTGGCTAAAGCAAAAAATGTTGGGGACTTTAAAAGAGTAGAGCAGCACCACAGAATCTCTGTGAATGGGATGGTTTAGGTAATGGGTTTTCGTCAGTGCTTGGTTTCCATTAAAGTGCCACAAAAGATGGAAAACAGCACAAGGGCAACTTCATTTTGGTTCCCATAAATTAGTCTGGATTTTGTACCTTAAAAATCCAACCCAATCAGTCATTGTCTACAGGCCAAGCGGGACTTGAGACCACCATGCCTGTCTTGTCCTGATCTCTTGTCAGACCAAGAACAGATATACCTGTCAGAAGGCACGTTTGTCTGAATTACATAATCTTTTTGGTTACGACCCTAGGACACTTTAAAGAGGCAGATATACATTACTTTTACTAAGACCTGCCTACCTACGTTTTCTTTCATTGGCATAGAATTCCTTAGAAATTTCTTGGTGTAGGTGTACTGTAACTCCTGTAACTCTTTTCTACTGTGAGAATTTAGATTGTGTCGAATCTATGTTATTATTAATATTATTTTTATAATCCCTGGGTGAGTATTATTGTTGACAGGATATTATTGTCGTAGCACAAGTTCTGGTAGCTTCATGCCTGCCAGTTCTTAAAGAAGAATGAATTACTTAGAAGGAAAAAAGTGATTCATTCAGTAAGTGGTTTTTCTCTCTTTCAACATGGTGACTCAGCAAAATGAAAGCACTGGGTAAATTCTTCATTTGCTTCTGGAATAAACCAGGATTTAGGAAGCACTACTCATATAGTTGCATGCTGTTAGCTTAGCTTCAGTTCGATAGATATGTTTTACCCCTTGGTTTGGCTATTGCCAAGAGTGTCACTTTGATATTTATTCTTATTATCTCCTTTTTTTTAAATGTTGATAAAAATTACCATTAAGAAATGTGAGGCCGGGCGTGGTGGCTCACGCCTGTAATCCCAGCACTTTGGGAGGCCGAGGCGGGTGGATCACAAGGTCAAGAGATCGAGACCATCCTGGTCAACATGGTGAAACCCCATCTCTACTAAAAATGCAAAAATTAGCTGGGTGTGGTGGCGTGCGCCTGTAGTCCCAGCTCCTCGGGAGGCTGAGGCAGGAGAATTGCTTGAACCCAGGAGGCAGAAGTTGCGGTGAGCTGAGATCGAGCCATTGCAGTCTAGCCTAGGTAACAAGAGCGAAACTCCGTCTCAAAAAAAAAAAAAAAAGAAATGTGAAAATGTCTAGCTTGGCACACCTGTAGTCCCAGCTATTTGAGAGGCTGAAGAGGGAGGACTGCTGGTGGCTAGGAATTAGAGGCTGCAGTGAGCCTATAAATAGCCGTTGTCTTCCAGGCCAAGCAACATAGTAAGGCCCTGTCTTTAAAAAAAAAAATTGAGCTGGGAGTAGTGGTGAGCATCTGTAGTCCCAGCTACTTGAGAGGTTGAGGCAGGAGAATCTCTTGAACCTGGCAGCTGGAGGTTGCAGTGAGCTGAGATTGCACCACTGCACTCCAATTTGGGCACCAGAGTGAGATTCTGTCTTTAAAAAAAAAAAAAAAAAAAAAACAGAAACAAAAGAAAAAAAGAGTTTCTAACTATTACTTATGTTATTTTTATTCTAATTTATTACTTTTGCATAAATAAAAGAGTTCTGGTTTAGAGTATGGACAAACCAACCCTTTACATTCAGATTTGGAAAAATGTCATTCAGTGCCAAAGCTGGGTGATCATTACGTGGGAAGTTAATATACTCTTCTATCTACCCTTTTCATGTTTGAAATTCTCTGTAATAAAAGGTTTTTTTAAAGGCCAGATGTGGTGGCTCATGTCTGTAATCCCAGCACTTTGGGAGGCAGAGGCAGGTAGATCACCTGAGGTCAGGAGTTTGAGACCAGCCTGGCCAACATGGAGAAAACCCGTCCCTACTAAAAATACAAAAATTAGCTGGGCAGGGTGGTACAGGTGCCTGTAGTCCCAGCTGCTTGGGAGGCTAAGGCAGGATAATTGTTTGAACCCTGAGGCAGGAGATGGAGTTTGCAGTGAGCAGCTATTGCGCCACTGCGTTACAGCCTGGGCGGCAGAGGGAAACTCCGTCTCAAAACAAAACAAAACAAAAAAACCCTTCCTGCTAAAGGTAGAAACAACTCTTGAAATGAAAAGGACACAGAGAAAAAGAAATAATTTCACATGAATTAAGCTGATCTATCATGCAGAGAAAGAAAAAAAATCTCTTATTTCTAGTGCAGTATTTGATTATATTTTCACATGACCTTGTTCCACAAAAAAATCTGAGGCAGCTTAACTAACTCTGATAATTGTAGT